GCAGCAGCAGCCACTGGCCTGGCCTTAATTTCAGAGCGATCCCAGGGCAGGTGATGCGTCCCTGCAAGGGCAGTAGTGGCACATCTGGCAGAGATGCCGCGTTCCTGGTGACTGTCCCATCGACGTGGCACAGATGACCAGTTGCACCTGCCTTGTGTGCCAGTGTGGCCACAGATCCAAGGGCAGTGCCTGTCCCCTGTGCTGGGCACTGGTGAGGCCACACCTGGAATTCTGGAGTCAGTTTTGGGACCCTCACCCCAACACAGACACTGAAGGGGTGGAGTGTGTCCAGAGAAGGGAACGGAGCTGGGAAACCGCTGTAGCAGCAGGATCTTGCTCTCTCCAACTCCCTGACAGGAAGGTGGAGCCAGATGGGGGTCAAGCTCTGCTCACAGGGAACAAGGGACAGGATGAGAGGAAATGGCCTCAAGCTGTGCCAGGGGAGGGTCAGGTTGGACATCAGGAGGAATTTCTTCCTAGAAAGGGTAGTCAGGCACTGGGAAGGGTCTCCCCAAGGAGGTGGTGGAGTCCCCATCCCTGGAGGTGTCCAAGGAACACCTGGACGTGGCACTCAGTGCTCTGGGCTGGGTGACAAGATGGGGATCGGTCACAGGTTGGACTCGATGATCTTGGAGGTCTTTTTCAACCTTAACAATGCTGTGATCCCATGACATTCCAGGAGGAAGGCTCGCCAGGCCAAGGCTCGCCGCATCGCCCCCCGGCCCGTGGCTGGACCCATCCGGCCCATCGTGCGATGCCCAACAATCAGATACCACAAAAAAGTTCGTGCTGGCAGAGGCTTCAGCCTGGAGGAGCTTAAAGTGAGTACAGAGCATTGATCCAAATAAGTGGTCTCCCAGTCTGAGCTTGGCTGCTGCTCCTGTCCTGCACCAGGTGACGTGCCCAGGTGTGCTACCTGCTGGTGCTAGCTCATCCTGGGGAGACTGTGGTGCTTCTGGTTCTGGGAGCATGGAAACACCACTCAAAGGTGTTTCAAAGGTAAACATCTGGTTGTCTGGTCAGACTGTCACTTAAAACTGCATTAAAATCAAGCTAAAAGAACAGAATTTCAGGTTGGATATATGGAAGAAATTTTTCCCTGTGAGGGTGGTGAGGCCCTGGCACAGGTTGCCCAGAGATGCTGTGACTGCCCCATCCCTGGAAGTGTCCAGTGTCAGGTTGGATGGGGCTTGGAGGAGCCTGGTCTGGTGGAAGGTTTTCCTGCCCATGGCAGGAGTGTGCATTTGGATAATCCTCAAGGTTCTTTCCAACACAGACCAGTCTGGGATTCCATGAAAATGTAAGAGCCTTGAGTCTCTTAAACTTTTTTAGGGAGGGCAATGATTAAGGTCTTCATTAAATTACGTTGTTTCTTTATGAAATACTGTTCTGGTAATCCTAAATATTTTGACTAATGTGTTCTTGTTGTGGATCAAGTAAACTGAGCTCAGCTGATTGTAAGAGTAGCAGGGGATGTTTTACCAGGAGGAAGGACTGTTCAGTGCAGCCTCCAGGAGTAGCTGGGGCTGTTCTTGTTTAATATTTGGTTTAGAAATACTGAAACTCTCTGGGAAGTATCTCCTCCCTTCCATTCCATCAGGAAATTGTCCCTGGGACCTGCCTGGGTGTGCTGAGCTGTTAAGGGGTGTCTGCAGGGACCCCCCACTGCATATCTGTGCAGTGAGCAGGAGTTACATCAGTCCTTGCTGGCAGCCACCAGCTGCCTTTACGCCTGGTTCAGTGTCTAATTAAAACATTTATAACTGAAATTGGTGCACTGAGGCAGGAAAATTGTTCTTCTGGGTGCCAAATGCTTCATTACTTACTTTTCTTTAATTTTTGGATAATGGTGGAACAGAAAGAGGGACACAGCTGTTTGTCTTCAAACAGAAAATGAATTTCTTGTTTAAGATGGTTAAAACAAATAGTTATTTAATGGAGCTCACAGTATTCAGTGACCCAGAGTTACCCATGTCTCAACTTCATAAATGCCTGTCTGTATGTATCCGAGTTTAAATGTCCCCCTCAGAGGTTGCTCTTTGCTCTCCTGAGGAAAATCCACCTGCAAAAAACAAAGTCTGAGGAACATTTTAAGCATTAAGGTACTCCAGGACACCCTTTGGTGATGGAGTAGGTGGTCCTTTAGCCATGCCAAGCCTTCTCCAGACCCTGTGTCCCATGCTGGCTGTGCTTGGAGCCCTGGCTGGCTGTGGGGAACAGTGGCATGCTGACACCGCTCCCTCTCTCCCCTCAGCTCGCTGGCATCAACAAGAAGTTCGCGCGGACGATCGGCATCTCCGTGGATCCCCGGCGGCGGAACAAGTCCACTGAGTCCCTGCAGGCAAATGTGCAGAGGCTGAAGGAGTACCACTCCAAGCTCATCCTCTTCCCGAGGAAGCCAGCCATGCCTAAGAAGGGAGACAGCTCTGTGAGTACCTGGCTGCTGGAGCCGTGTCACAGGGGCTGTTTACAGCCCCGCTTTGCGAGGTTTGGTGTCAGCCCATCCCTCTATCCCGGTGTGCAGATCTCTGAGCCTGTTCCATGATGTGACCCCAAGGGGAGCAGCCCTGCCCTTGGATGCAGCGTGGGTCTGAGCCCAGCATAAGGCCTGGCCTGGCAGGATTGAGTCTAAAAGGGCTCTCTGGGTCACAGTGACACTGGGTCGGGCATTTGTCTGAGGGGCTGCAGCCCTGGTTTTGGGCAGATTCCTGGAGCTTTGGTCCTTTGCCCAGCCAGTTGAGTTTTAGTTTATGGAGCTAAATTGTCAAGAGTAGCTGAAAATTCCACCTGAAAATTTTGTCCAGCCGTATGGAAGGGTGAGGGACAGGCTGTGTGAGCGGCTCCATGCCAGGCAGGCTCCAGAAGGCAGTTGCTGTTGACATTCAAAAATGCTTTTCATTAAAAGCTTTCCGAGATCAGAGCAGAGCTGTGTTCCTTGGCTCTGCTGGCAGTGGATCTGCGCTTCCCGCGGGGCTGAGTGAGCCACAGAACACAGCGGTGCGCTCAGGCTGTCCTCAGATCTTCTGGGGAGCCTGGCAGCTCCAAGCTGCTTAATTGTAGTGGATCCCTCCCTTTTCAGAGCAGGAAGGAAGGGCCTTGATCTGTAATACTGCTTCAGATTTGATTGCTGGAAATTAACTACATAAAATAATCTCCAGTCGTTTTTGTCTGATGACACACTTCTACAAGAAAGTGAAATCAGCATTAGAAGGAGTTGCTGAGGAATGTGTTGGGTATAAATGAACTGGAGGGACTCAGCCTGGAGAAACAGAGGCTCAGGGGGGTACTTCTCACTCTCTGCAACTCCCTGACAGGAAGGTGGAGCCAGGTGGGGGTCGGGCTCTGCTCCTGGGGAGCAAGGGACAGGATGAGAGGAAATGGCCTCAAGCTGTGCCAGGGGAGGTTCAGATTGGACATCAGGAGGAATTTCTTCATGGAAAGGATGGTCAAGATTGGAACGGTCTGCCTAGGGAGGTGGTGGAGTCCCCATCCCTGGAGGTGTCCAAGGAACACCTGGATGTGGCACTCAGTGCTCTAGGCTGGGTGACAAGGTGGGGAATCAGTCACAGGTTGGACTCAATGATCTTGGAGGTCTTTTCCAACCTTAACGATTCTGTGATTGTCACACTGAAAACGGCACAGTTGGTGTCAAAGCTTTTCCAGCTGGCAGAGCTGAGAGGGCGCTGATCCTCCGGCCGGATCCAGGCACAACGTGGGCTGTTGATGCAGCTCGTCTGTGCCAAATGAAATGCTGGATTTGTTACCATTTGGTGCTAAATCTTCCATCAGAATCCTTAGCACCGTGTTTAAGCTGAGTACCTGTGTACAGGCTGTGCTTTTAACTGAGGTTTTAACCTGAGAAAGTTTAAATTCTGTTTTTTTAACGTTCCTGTCCTCTCCTTGTGCAGCCAGAGGAACTCAAAATGGCCACTCAGCTCACAGGACCCGTTATGCCCATCAAAAATGTAAGTGTAATTAAATCATATTTTCTGTGGGACATAATTGAGATTGAACTCCGGGGAGGGGGTTCTCTCCTTGCTGTTGCACAGCGTCTGCAGGCACTGCCCATCCTGGATCAAAAAAAACAGGACTAAACAAGAGAACTTGTGCCTGTGAAACTGGGGGCACTTTGGGTTGCAGCTGAGGCTGCAGTTCCCAGGCAGGTTCTGTGGTCAGCATTTGTCCCTGAGTCCTCAGTGCTTCCTAGAGCTGCTGTTGGTAGTGCCACCAACCTCTACTTGCTCCCCTAGAACTCCCTGACTGGTGGGTGGAGCTGGGTGGAGGTCAGGCTCTGCTCCCTGGGAACAAGTCACAGGATGAGAGGAAACAACCTCAAGTTCTGCCAGGGGAGGTTCAGGTTGGATATTGGGAACATTTCTTCATGGAAAAAATATAAAGCATTGGAACTGACTACTGAGGACAGTGGTGGAGTCCCTATCCCTGGAAGTGTTCAATAAACATGTGGATGTTGCACTTGAGGACGTGATTAGCGATGAACACGCTGCTGGTGCCGGGCTGACGGTTGGACTCGACGCTCTTAAAGTCTTTTCCAACCTGAACAATCCTGTGATTCTGTGAACCTGACTCACGTTTCCTGTGGTGCTTTGTTTCCATCCCTGCTCCGGGGTGCGGCTGTGCCGCTGTTCCCAGCAGAGCAGCCGAGGGCAGGGCCTGTAGGTGGCACGAGCGCTCTGTTCCTCTCTGAGATCACTGCAAAGCCTCAGCTCCTTCCCCGAGGTGCAGCCTGACTGTCTGGCACTCCCTCTTTCCCCCAGGTGTTCAAGCGGGAGAAGGCCCGCGTCATCTCGGAAGACGAGAAGAACTTCAAGGCCTTCGCCAGCCTGCGCATGGCCCGGGCCAACGCCCGCCTCTTCGGCATCCGTGCCAAGCGCGCCAAGGAAGCGGCAGAGCAGGATGTGGAGAAGAAGAAATGAACTGTTCTCCCCAGAACTGTCAATAAAAAGCTGTAGACAGACGGGTGTGCTGTGTTTTTGGGGCACATGTACCGAGTGGAGTTGTGCCGGTGTCGGTTCAGGGACGTGTTCAGGCGTGGGAAATCTCATTTGCTGTGCTTGGAATCTCCAAAGTTCTCTGAAAGCTTGTGAAACGCCTGCCTTGTTCCCACTCCTCTGCTTTGTGTCAGGGCTGCAGTCTGGGCTCCCTCCTGCTCTGACTTTGAGGGGCTTTGGGGGTACCCCCCTCTGTGCCAAACTTTGTCTGCTTCCCCTTCCCTGCCTTCCATGCTGGTATTCCAGGTTTATTGATTTCCACACCTCTGTGTGAGGCAGAGCTCTAGAAGGTGGGGTCACCTTTGGGTACTGGGCAGTGCTACCCACATGGGAGGGGACTTCACTGCTTTTTAAGTGGCACAAGAGGAATAAGATGAGTCCCAGCCCCTAAGTTGGGCTTCATTGGAGCAGAATCCAAGGGCTGGAGTGGTGCCCTGCCCAGTCCTCAGCTCAGCCACTGGTACTGTTCTGGGGACCCTTCACCCATTTCTTCATGGCTTAAAGACCATTCCATGGTAGATAAGGCGCTTGGGGACATGGTTTGTGATGGCCTCAGCAGTGCTGGGGAGCAGGTGGGACTCTGATCTTGGAGGCTTTTTCAACCCAGGCAGTTCTGTGATCCCTCAGTCAAGTGGCATTACAGAGAAGCCCAGGAGAAGGGTTGGGTGGTTCTGGCCCATCCTCGTTGCTACTGGGTGTTCCAGGCTCTGCTTGTCCCATTATGGGGGCTGATGGGTCACCAGGATGTGTTGGTGGGATTGGAAGTGCTCTGGGAGTGCTCGCATCTGGGGCCATTGTGCAGCCTGGACAGGATAATGAAGTCATTTGTCAGCAGGTTGGAGAGAGATTATGGATGGCATGGGATGGGATGGGTTGAAGCACTCGGTGCTGGAGCCCTGGCACAGCTGGATGGCCCCCTGGGCTGCTCACAGTCAAGAGGTGCACAGTGTGGTGCTGCCTGTGCCATGCCAGCCATCGCCTGTCTCTTCAGCCCCTCTGCCTGGACCCCGTGTCCCACCATGTGTCTGGTGCCTCCTGCCCTCCTGGGCCGTGCCAGGGGCTGGGGAGGGAAAGTGGGAGAGAGAGTGGCCTATTTCTGCCAGGCAAGCTGGGGATTAGCTCCTGAAGTCCCGGCCCTGCAGTGCCCTGGTGCTCATTAGCCCTATCTGCATTTTAATCCCTCCAAATTTGGGCTAATTACATCATCTTTCATAAAGCTGAGCTGACAGTGCCGCAGCACGGGGGGGACAGGGGCAGGGGTGGGTGGGGGTCCCAGGCTGGGAATGGGGCAGATAGGACTCCATGTGCATGGAATATGGGTCTCGGTGCTCCAGCATGTGGGGAGGGCACTCAGTGGGTTTGGGGCACCCCACCCTTGTGCTTAGGGTCTTAGCTTAGAGTGTAGGGGGCTGGGACCAGGACAGC